CGGGCGGCCTCCTGCACACCCCACACTGGGGATCGAGCCCGTTAACCTGGGCATGTGCCCTGACCGGGAATCAAACCATCATAACCTCCTGGTTCAGAGGTCGATGCTCAACCACTGAGCCGCCGGCCGGGCTAAAGTCCCTTCACACAGAGGAGGGGACGGAGGCTGGGTCTGGGGGAGGAACCAGCAGCTCTGCCACAGAGCAGCTTTGGGACCCCCACAACCAGGGGAGTCCCACCTCCCCACCTCCCGTCAGTGGGCCCAGGGGGCCCCACCTTGTACGTGTGGTTCCTGAGGAGTTATTTGTAGACCAGAAGGGTTTTCACAAACTTGATTGATCCCTGAGAAGTGTTTCCTCTCACTCTGATCGATGCTCCTCATTTCTGCCTCGCACAGCTCGACGGAGCAGAGAGGTTTCTGGGGGATGGAGGCCGCGCACTGCGCAGGGCTCTTTGCTTCCTGCATTTCCTACAGCGCAGCTTCCGGTTCAACCCCCAGCCCCCAATACGTTTACTCCTTTGAGTAACCAACCCAACATTTATTATAAGTCGGGAATTTTATCTACTGAACTTTCTGTAAAAATGTTCTAAAAAGTTTTCCAGTCTCTAAAACAAAATGTTGGTTTTGTTTTTTTTGTCCCCAGATTCTCTCTGGGAAAAAGGCCGTCCCTGCCCGTATGTATCAAGAAGTTCTGAGATCTCACTCATTTGTGGAATAGAATGAACAACATAAACTGATGAACTAAAATAGAACCAGAGACAGAGAAGCATCAAACAGAACATCCAACCTCAGAGGGAAGGCGGTGGTGGCGGGGGTGGGGGAGGCGGGGGAGGGGGTAAGAAAACAACCAAAGGACGTGTATGCGTGCATATGAGCATAACCCACGGACACAGACAGTAGGGGGTGAGGACATGTGCTGGGGGGTGGGAGTGGCCGGGGAGAGGTCAATGGAGAAAAAGGAGACATATGTAATACTTTAAACAATAAAGAATTTTTTTAAAAAAAAGAACAGCCCTAACCGGTTTGGCTCAGTGAATAGAGCGTCAGCCTGCAGACTGAAGGGTCCCAGGTTCGATTTCGGTCAAGGGCATGTACCTTGGTTGTGGGCACATCCCCAGTGGAGGGTGTGCAGGAGGCAGCTGATCGATGTTTCTCTCTCATTGATGTTTCTGTCTATCCCTCTCCCTTCCTGTCTGTAAAAAATCAATACAAATAAAAACAAAGACTGGTAGGGGGAAAAAATTCTGAGGCCCCGGCTGGTTTGGCTCAGTGGATAGAGCGTTGGCCTGCGGACTGAAGGATCCTGGGTTTGATTTCGGTCAAGGGCCTGGGTTGTGGGTTTGATCCCCAGTGTGGGGTGTGCAGGAGACAGCCGATCAATGATTCTCTCTCATCATGGATGTTTCTATGTCTCTCTTTCTCTCCCTTCCGCTCTGAAATCAGTAAAAAAAAATCTATTTAGGAAAAAAAAAAACAAAAGAAGACGTTCTGAGAAAATCGTCTCGATCTCTGGGAGGTTTGTGTTCGAGAAGACGGCACCAGCCCAGGGCCACGTGGCGGGCGAAGCCCAGCAGAAAACGGACACTGAGCGAGTGGTTTTGCAACATCTTGGATGGCGGCTGGATCTGCGCACTGTAGACAGTTCATGCCGGAGTGTGTGCGTGGCTGTGCTGCGTGCGCGTGGGCGGTGGCGCCCACGCCGAGGCCAGGCCGGCGGAGCTGCCAAGGCCACGCGGGGAGTAGGACACAGGCTTCGCCCCAGCTCAGTGCCCAGCCCCGGCCTGTTTTCTCCGGCAGGAGGCCACCCCCCTTGCCACTCCCTAGTTTTCTCCTCTGGCAGCGAAAGAAGCAGCTGCTGAGCCAAGGCTGGTTTTCGGGAAGTCAGCTGACCTTTCCCCTCTCCGGCTCACTGCTCTGCTGCCGGAGGTGGACACCATGGGCTCACTCAGGGCTCTGCTCTGTCTGCTGCCCCTGTACCCGGGTAGGAGCCAGGGAGCCAGGGAGCGGGGTGGGGTGCGGTGGGGGCGGGGCGGGAGGGTCCTTGGGGGAGGCCACCGCCACCCGGTGGGTGTCTGCGCTGGAAACAGTCTCTTTTGCTTTCCTTTCTGCCCAGGGCTTACCGTGCCTTCCTCTTTTCTCCATTTCTGTGTCTTGTCCCCTTCCCACAGGCTTGGTGCAGCTGCACCCTCCTGCCCTCAGAACGTGGAAATCTCCGGGGGCAATTTCACCCTCAGCCACGGCTGGGCCCCTGGGAGTGTCCTCGTGTACTCCTGCCCCCTGGGCCGGTACCCAGTCCCCACATCCAGGCTGTGCCTGAGCAGCGGACGCTGGCAGACCCCGAGATCCAGCCCGGTGGCAAAGGCGGTCTGCAAACGTGAGGCTCCCCGAGCTCGCCCAGGGTGCCCTGCGCGCGCGGAACCTCTATTTAGGATTTGCTGCGCGTGGGTCTTAGCCTGCCTGGGCCGCGTGGGAGGGGGGGGCGAAGCCTTTCCACAGGGCTGTGCAAAATAGCGGGAGAACGTCACTCCCCATAGCAGGGTATTGGAGGCACGCTTTAAACAAGATTTTTTTTTTTAAAAAAAGTATTTTTTTATTGATTTCAGAGAAGAAGGGAGAGGGAGAGAGAGATAGAAACATCAATGATGAGAGAGAATCATTGATCCGTTGCCTCCTGCACGCCCCTTACTGGGGATCAAGCCTGCAACCTGGGCATGTGCTCTGACCAGAATCGAACCCCGGGACCCTTCAGTCCATAGGCCAACGCTCTAGCCACTGAGCCAAACCAGTTGGGGCGAGGCAGGCTTTGATGGAGATTGTGGGGGGCTACAGGCCAGGGATGCTTCCCAAAATACTTAACAGTTGGCCGCATGGTACTGCCCGCTCCTGGGAGGCGAGGACCCCGGGGCGGGGGGAGGTGTTTCGGGTTGAACGGTGTGAGACCGCCAGTGTTCACCCAGCTGCCAGCAGCAGCAATTGCACAGGCATCAACCTAATCTGCAGGCAGCCAGGGGCTGTCCCCACGCCTCGGGCGAACGCCACCCCCGTGGTGC